TAATAATTAACAATCCGCAATGTTAACCGCAAATTGCGCTCAAAATAATAATTATAATAATTAACGCCTGATAAAATAATTGCAATAATGAACTATGACGTAATATCTCAATTAAAAATTGCTGGCCGTATTGAGGACCCAACACGCGGCTTTCAGGACAGGTACAAATATTCCCAATAATAACCCTTACTCGCTACGGGATCGACCCGATTAATCGATAGTGAATTTAATTAAACAATAAAAATGAATTATCTAAGCCAGGAGACAGCGGTGTACGGATAACAAAATGGCTCAACTTGTGAGTACTCACCGAAAAAGGAAACTCAACCCAAGGCACCAAATCCACACTCCTTACAATAGCGGAGGTCCCACGTGTCTTCCTCACACCAAGCGGGTCACCGCGTGTCTATTCAATCTACGTCACCGTAAAACGTTCGAGGCCTCGTGTTCGACCACGAGGGCCTCTTTAGCCATTTTCCCAAATTTAATAAACCTATTAGCTCGCGATCGATAATACAGGACTTCACCCGTGCGAGTAAAGGCTATGATAATAAAACCAGGTACTATAACTATGATTTACGGCGATACATACAAATAATAATAATGATAATATTGAATTACAAATAATTCATTGTAAATATCTGAAACAAATGTAAAATTAATTCTTAAATTATAAACAATAATATTAAAAATTTCAAGTATAAATAATAATAATGATAATAAATTCAATAAACAAATCAATATATAGATACAAAAATAAAATTGAGACACACATTGAGTGTGGATCTGTTGCCAAATATTAGGCGCATGGAGGGACGCGCACAGGGAATAAAAACCCTGTGACAACATAACCTTAAAAAAAAGTTTCCCGACATTTTGTATCCAGTTCAATAGTTTACTGAAATTGGGACATACGTTAAGAAAATAACTGTCATCAAATTATTATTATTTTCTTGTTGTTTTGTAAGTATACTTTATGGAATTTCTTAATTATCAATTTGAACATCGGCTGCGAATTTCTAATATTGTTTCTCCATACTGATTTTATTAACAATAGTACAAAGCACTTTCTCAAAATGTCAGCGTGTTCTATGTTTGGAGAGCCAGAGAAATCACCCAAGGATAATCTTCCAAGCAAGGAAGACATTGTGAGGTATTGTAATTACCTAATACAAGGAAGAAAAAACGAGAATTAATTTGAGCCATCACTTTCTGAAATTGCAAGTATTGTAGCTACAGACGTAGAGAAGTTATTCTCTATGATTTCTGTCCCAACAGTTTCAACGAAACGAATTATCCAATTAATAATTGCTCAACATGAATAATATTTGAAAGCTGAAAAAAAATGGGAGTAATAATCGCCATTCTTCGTCATCTGGACAGCAAAAAATTAATGATTACAGGACTGATTCAAAAAAACTATTCGATGTAAGCTCTTGTAAATTTATTAAATTCAGTATCTGCAATTGTCCAGAAGAAAAAAAAATACCTGTCACTCAACATGAATTTCTCACAGATCAGAGAACTACATGCTTACGAAAAATCTCTCAACAACTTTTGTACATCCCAGAGCTGAATGATGAATATACAGAACGTTTACCTCGTAGTATTTTAGATTTAAACCAAAATTTGGTATCTTCAGACTTATCTTCTAATTCATCATTCAGTGAAATAAATTTTTCTCAAAAATCGACTTCTTCCATTAATAGTACTTCGTCAAAAAACAATTTCATTGTATGAACCAAGCTACAGACAAAGAAGAAACATGGATTTTAATCTCGTTCAAAGTCAAAATAGAATTGAATTCAAAGAAACTGCTCTTACCAGCCAAAGGTATAACTTAAGTGCTCGCGCCACTGCAGCCGTTGTAACATCGACTCTAGTAGACATAGGACTGATTACTAAAACTGATAAAAATTTGATTGCGTTTTACACCAATATATAATTCATTTACTGTCGAAAATGCCACTTTTTGAACGAAAATTGAAATAATTTTAATAATTATCTCTCGTAAAAAATTTTAAAAAGAAACATTTTTAAAGAAAATTTAATTTCCCGTCGAATGGAGAACTTATAAATAGATTTCAAACTAACAAGATTATTTTAATAGTGAAAATCTACTATTTTGATACTAAAATTGGGATTATCTCTGAATCTATGGGTCCTACGTAATTTTGTGTAAAATTTTGAGTGACCTTTTTGTCGAGCGTAAAATTTCCGATCAAAATAAGTTGATGAAAAAATTTTTTAAACATTTTTATCTTTGACTGCAAACGACGAGCCTGAGATGTTGACCAAAAATTTTTTCCTTTCACACAAAATTTTTTTATAAATTAATAAACAATATTTTTGCTATTACTAAATGAAATTCTAAAAAAGCGGATTTTCGGCCAACCCTAATGATTATATACGATCAGACAAAATCTTTTTTCATCGGGCAATTTGAATCTACGACTAGTTTTTTATTAGAGTCTGCATATTAACTTGTCAATTAATTCGTTTTTTTTTTTTCGGTAACTTTTAAATTACGGCACGCAAGCCAACGTTTTAATGTGGCAACATTGTTGTCTTTTACGGTTGCAAATTTTTATTTTCCTCCAGAGACGTCGTTTTCAGTCAAAAACATATTTTTAACTTTCCGCTAAGAAAATTGAAAATTTCCAAAAGTCGGGAAGTTATTGGTTTTACCCCGTTTTTCAAAAATCGAGTTTTCAACGGATGTTGACGTTCTGAGGTCCTAGGAAGCTTCCCCGAATGCTTCCGCGATGATATGTCAGTGTGTGTGTGTGTGTTTTTTTATTTTTTTTTTTTTTTCCAAAGAGGTACGAAAAAAGATCTTCAAAAGACACCGCTATCGTTAACTCTGCTGCCCATCTTACGGCAGATATCGATAGTCGGTAGTGTGGAGATTTTTACCCACTAAAAAAAACATTCCTCTTCCCCTCTCTCCTAGATGGTACGGGGAGGACTGGATTGGAACCGCGTTAGCATTACTTCAATCCAGCCGTGCTGCATCTCACGACGCCTACTCCTGGCTACTGGTCTCTTTCTGCGATTTTGTCTTTCAGGAGGTGCTGTGCATAAGCTGCAACAGCTGACCAGTTTTTCTCTTGTTTGATCATATAGGTCACCAGGCTTGAGGGGGAGAGCCTGGTGCCAATGATCTCTTCGGTGCTTCTTCTGTAGTCTTTCAACCGAGCACACTCAAAGAATGTGTGTTCGGCGTCGTCGATTTTATCCGGGCAGTATTTGCATGTTGGTGTGTTGTGTAGACCCATCTTGAAGAGATAGGCGTTGTACTGCCCATGTCCTGTCAGTAGTTGGGTCAGGAAAAAATCCGTGTCCCCGTGTTTCCGAGAGAGCCAGGCGTTGATGTTTGGGATCAGTCGCGCTGTCCATCTGCCTGTCTCTCCCGACGTCCATCAGTCCTGCCACTCTTGCTGCGTTTCCGTTTTTATCCTCGTTATTGCCTTCTTCATGTTTTCGCCACTGATTTTAGCGTCATAGAGTTTTGCTCTTTCGAACGCTAATAGGTCGATGGGCGCAGCTCCCGCAATGACCAGTACAGCCGCTTCGGAAACCGTGCGGTAGGCGCAGGCAACTCTGAGAGCGCCTCGCCGCTGCACTGCTGCCATTTTCCGCCGGTAGGTCTTCTGCTTTAATATGTCTGCCCATATTTCCGCTCCATACAGTAGTACCGAGTGGACTGCTTCTAGGAGAACTCTTCTCTTTTTTGTTCTTGGTCCCATGGTGTTGGTCATAATTCGTGCTAGGCTAGACACAGTCTTGCTGGCTTTCTTGCATGCAGTGTCGAGGTGTTCACGGAAAGATAGTTTCTCGTCTATCATAACCCCTAGGTATCGCAGGGCCCTTGTTGACGTCAGTGTTGTTCCTCCCATGCCCACAGCAAATGGTTTTGGGAACCATTTTTGACGTGTCAAAACGACCATCTCGGTTTTCTGTTTGGCGAGTTTCAGGTGATGCTTATCAAGCCAAGTCTCGACGGTGTCGATGGTTTCTCGAACTAGCAGTTCGGCCTCTTCTACGCTGTCTGCCACTATAGTGGCTGCAACGTCGTCTGCAAAGCCTGTTAGCTCTACTTGCTCTGTCAACGGGATTTCAAGAAGCTCGTCGTAGTCTGCGTTCCATAGATCAGGCCCCATTATTGAGCCTTGCGGCACGCCGGCCGTTATGACGTATTCTTGTGGGCCTTCAGTAGTTTCCACTATTAGCTTTCTATCGTCAAGGTAATTGTCGACTAGTGCCAGATTTTCTGGCTCCGCGTCAAACTTGTGCTCCAGGGCGTCCAAAATATCTCTCCAATTTGCGCTGTTAAATGCGTTTTTGACATCTAGCGTGAGGAGAAGACATACTTTACGAGCTTTGAGGCTACCAGACCATGCTTGTGTTGCTGTTCTTATGACTTTCTTGATTGCTCCGACTGTCGAATGACCTTTCCGGAAGCCATGATGGTTGGTGGCAAAACCTCCAGCACGGTCTATGTCGTTGCGAAGTCTCCCTTGTATGAGCTTCTCGAGTAGTTTTCCAGCAATGTCCAGCATACAGAGTGGTCTAAACGACGAAGGCGTTATGGGGGTTCCCTTACCTTTGTCTAAGAGAACCAATCTCTGCCGTTTCCAGACCGCGGGAAACGTGCCAGTTGCTAAGCATGCGTTGTAGGTGTTCAGGAGTAAGTCTGGGTATTCCAAGGCTACAATCTTTATCACCGATGCCGGGATGCCATCAGGTCCAGGTGCCTTTCCTGTTTTGAGTGACTTGGCCGCGTCTTGTAGTTCCGTAGTTGTGAAGGGTGTTACTTCGTTGTTTTTAGTGTAGTGTTTCTTCTCCCGCGGCGGGTGTTTGGGGAAAAGCTCCGCTACTATGCTATTCATTAAGGCTGGAGACTTCGGCGCCTCTGGTAAAGCCTTTCCAAGTCGTTTGGCGACAATTTGGTAGGCTTTACCCCAGATGTCATTGTCGAGATCGTTGCAGATCTCTTTTCACAACTTTGCTTTACTTGCTTTGATGGCTCGGTTTAGCGTCTTTTTGGTCTGCTTGTACTCTTTTGAATACAAGTCCTGGCTTGGAGAGCGTTTTGCGGTTCTCGTTGCGCGGCGACGTAGTTGATGGGATATTTTGCGAAGTTCTGCTATGTCTGTTGACCACCAATACGCCAGCCTGTGAAAACTCCGGTTTTTCAATCGCGGCATAGAGGCGTCACATGCGGCAAAAATCTCCTTCATCATATTTAGCACTGTCCTTTCTGTCTCGCTGCAAGTATCCGGAGTCGGGTTGTTCTGTAGGGTAGAACAGCTCTTTGCAAGTGAAGCTCGCAGTGCCTCTGGATCGAGCTGCCTGACATTCCACTTCCGCTTAGAATTGTCGCGTTGTGAAACCGGAGCAAATGCCAATCCAACGCTGAATGTCACGAACTGGTGATCACTGCCACTGTATTCTTCGGATACTGTCCAGTCTTTGATCATGTTGGCAATCCTTGGAGTCGCCAATGAGATGTCGAGGATGGATTCTTGGTACCCTGGTCTTCTAAAGGTCGTTGTGCTTCCGGTGTTCAGCACTATGAGGTCGAGTCTAGCCACGACGTCAGCGACCTCGTTTCCTCTGGTGTTGGAGAAAGCAGTGCCCCATTCAGCCGATTTAGCGTTGAAGTCTCCGGCTACGATAACTTCACCGTCGAACTTGGTGACCGCATCTTCTATATTTGCCAGTTTCTGTCGGAACACACTAATCCCTTCGTTAGGTGAGAGATAGACGCTCATGAAGTAAGTTGTGGGAGTTTGAATCCAGACAAAACCTGCTCCACTTCCGCTGTTGTTGAAGGTAACGTTCTTTGTGTTCACAATCCAAATTGCTGCCGTGCCCGTTTTATCTGCGAACCATGTTTTGCCTTTGATGTTTAGATATTGCTCGCAGATAAAGCAGACGTCAATTTTATCTTCAAAAACACGCTGGCGCAGCAGATTTTGCGCCAAGGCGCACCTATTCAGGTTGCCTTGTAGTATGCGTGTCATTTCTGACCTCTCGTGGCTTCTGTAAGTGCTTTGCAGAATGCCTTGCAAGCTCCAGTGCCAGAAATATGGCATAGACTATCCTGGGCATCTTTGTCCGAAGCACAAAAGAAGCATTTTAGCTTCTCCGTGCAGTTTACGGCCTTGTGGTTCTCTCCGCCACATTTGTAACAGCACTTGCTTCTGTCTGGTCCCGCACACTGACTTTACGTTTTTTTTTTTTTTCCTTAAGGGGGGGAATTCTTTTTGCGGATTCCAGGCAGAGCTGCTTGGCCTGGATATGTGGCGACTCGACGCAGCGTCATACTAAAACTCGATGCTGACGCCCCT